AGGATACAGAGCAGAAAGTAATCTTCCTATCCGTGCCCCTACCCTGTTTCTTCTCACTGAAGTTTATCTTTTCAGAGATATTTCATACATATACTGGTTGTTTAAAAAAAAAATTAGGTCTGTATATGCTCATTTACAGAAAATTGTATAAATGAATATAAGCATATTCTTTTCTGAAAGAGTTGTCATGAGATTTGGAAATTATACAACTATTTATTCAGGACAGATGAAATGTACTTTAAAAACAATTATATTTAAGTAATACAGGGCAGCCATAGAGAAAAAGTGCACAGGAACGTTACAGCCACCCTGTATGTATAAGGCTCTTTCTTACTCTGCTGCAGTACTGGGTTAAGTAATTTACATCTGTTATCCCAACAACAACCCGGTTGGGTAGGTACTATTTCACCCATAAGAAAACTAAGGCTTGGAGAGATGAAGTGACTTGTTGAAGGTTCTTTGGCTACTAAGTAGAAACTTTGGGTTTAGAAGGAAATTTTCTTGTCACTGGAGCCTGAGCCTTTTTTTTTTTTCTGAGACAGAATCTCACTTTGTCACCCTTGGTAAGTGCTATGATATCATAGCTCACAACAACCTCAAATTCTTGGGCTCAAGCGATTCTCTTGCCTCAGTCTCCCAAGTAGCTGGGACTACAGGAACCCACCACAATGCCCGGCTATTTTTAGAGAAGGGGTTTGGCTTTGGTTCGGGCTGGTCTGGAACCTGTGAGCTCAGGCAATCCACCGGCCTCGGCTTCCCAAGTGCTAGATTACAGGTGTGAGCCACTGTGCCCGTCCCTGATCCCTATGCCTTAATCACTGCACTCTACTACCCCCACATGGTTATTGGTTGTAATCCACCCAATATCCAGAACTGGTACCATGTGTATAGGAACAGCAGCTCTGAAGTGCTCTATCCAGGTGGATGGTTTCTCTGCTGGTCTCTAGTTCTTTGGTTGACTGAAGGTGCTAATTGTACCATACTGCAGTTTATATCAAAGACCTAGATATTTGATGATTGAGACTAGTGTATGTTCTATATGCTCAGTAATGCTAAGCTTTGTTTTATTTTTGTCAGTTTTAACTAACCAAATTATTATTTTTAGTTTGTGATAATAGTAATAAAATTTGACATAGAATTTTTTTTTCTTTCTTCAGACAGAGTCTCAAGCTGTCGCCCTGGGTAGAGTGTCACGGCATCACTGCGCACAGCAACCTTAAACTCTTGGGCTTAAGTGATCCTCTTGCCTCAGCCTGCCAAGTAGCTGGGACTACAGGTGCTCACCACAACACCCAGCTATTTTTGGTTATAGTTGTTGTTTGGTGGGCCTGGGCTGGATTCAAACCCTCTAGCTCTGGTGTATGTGGCTGGTGCCCTAGCCGCTTGAGCTATAGGCACTGAGCCAGGGATAAATATTTTTTAAAATCATATTAAATTGATATTCAAGAGTGGTTATTTTTAACCACATTAATTTATGTGTCTTCATACTTTTGATAAAAAAGAAGAATTATGAAGGCTGGCACTGTGGCTCACGCCTGTAATCCTAGCACTCTGGGAAGCCGAGGCAGGTGGATTGCCTGAGCTGACAGGTTCAAGACTAGCCTGAGCAAGAGCAAGCAAGACCCCTTCTCTAAAAATAGCCGGGCATTGTGGTGCGTGTCTGTAGTCCCAGCTACTCGGGAGGCTGAGGCAAGAGAATCAGCCTCCCACGTAGATAGGACTGCAGGCACCTGCCACAACACCCAACTATTTTTAGAGATGGATCTCTCACTTGCTCAGGTTGGTCTTGAACCTGTGAACTCATGTAATCCATCCACGGTGGCCTCCTAGAGTGCTGAGATTACAGGTGTGAGCCACTGCACCCTGCCCCACTTTACTGGTTTATCATAAAAGACATTATAAAGGATACAGATGGAGGGATGCATAGAGTGAGGCATCAGAAAGGGTGTGAAGCTTCCAAGCCTCCCATGGTGCACCACCTTCCAGGAACCTTAAATCTGTCCTTTTTATATTGTTATGTAGTCTTTGTTGCATAGGCATGATTGATTAAACCACTGGTCATTGGTGATCAATCACTCAATCTGCAGCCCTATGTAAGATTTCAGAAGTTGTAAGCCAATTATATATATTTTACAACATTATACTTAGTAATCTTATTTTCTATTTATAACCCTAGCAGATTTTAATGACCAAAGAAGTATTTGATTAATGTTTGAGCCCATTAACAAACATTTTCACCTCCAAACATTTTTAAACTTCATTCATGAATTTAATATATTGTTTTCCTTGTTAAGCTCTTTGTCTAATTAAATAATTCAATATCAAATTAAATTTATAAATGTGGTAAATCTTAAATTCTAGTGAGTGCTCCAATATTGTTTATTAACTTAGCAAGACTTCATCTTAAGATCATTAGCAAAAATGTATCTATTAAATTACACATTTTAGGTGGCGCTGGTAGCTCAGTGGATAGGGCACCCATAACTCAGTGGGTAGGGTGCTGGCCACATACATGGAGGCTGGGGGGGTTCCAATCTGGCCCAGGTCTGCTGAAATAACAATGACAACTGCAACAATGACAAAAAAATAGCTGTGTGTTGTGGCGGGTGCCTGTAGTCCCAGCTACTTGGGAGGCTGAGGCAAAAGAATCGCTTGAGCCCAAGAGTTTGAGATTGCTGTGAGCTGTGACGCCACAGCACTCTACCCAAGGCGACAGCTTGAGACTGTCTAAAAAAAAAAAAAAATTACACATTTTAAACTTAGAAGTGTAAGGCAAACGTTTACTTCAATGGGCCAAGTTCTCTTTAATGTTACATGCACACAGAATTCCAAATATGCTCAGCTTCTTTAAAACATAGTATTAACATTATGGGTTCTACTCTCAAACATTTTATACTCAGTCCAGTCTTTCCAGTATTAAAATGCTCACCTAGGTGGCGCCCATAGCTCAGTGGGTAGGGCACAAGCCACATATATACCCAGGCTGGTGGTTTCCAGTGCATCCTGGGCCAGCTAAAATCAACAATAACAACTGCAACAAAAACATTGCCAGGCATTGTGGTGGGGGCCTGTAGTCCCAGCTGCCCAGCTATCCCAGATGCCATAGCACTCTACTGAGGGTGACATAGTAAGACTGTCTCAAAAAAAATAAAAATATAAAAATAAAATGCTCACCTGCTGAGACTTTTGAAAAACAATTTTTTTGGAGGGGCAGTCTCACTTTATTGCCATTGGTAGAGTGCAGTGGCATCATAGCTCATAGCAACCTCAAATTCTTGGGCTCAAGCAATTCTCTTGCCTCAACCTTCCAAGTAGCTGGGTCTATAGGTGCCCACCACAACGCCCAGCTATTTCTTAGAAATGGGGTCTTGCTCTTGCCCAGGATGGTCTCAAATTCTTGAGCTCAGGCAATCCACCCATGTCGGCCTCCCAGACTGCTGGGACTACAGGTGTGAGCCACTGCACCTGGCCCTAAAATCATGCACTTGACAATCAATTCAGAAAGGTTTTAATTTTGCAGAATCTCTTGGCCCCTTAGATACATGGTGCGGTGTTGTTTTCTAGTCATTGGTTGTCTTTGTAGAGCATAGGACGAGAATTTGGAAGATACATTTGAATTTGATTTTCAAAAGTAATCCAGGTTACATTCACTTGTGTGTTAAGACTTGGGTACAATGTTAGGAAATACCAGTGATTAGAGTTCATCAGCACAAGTGTAGGATCCAAGATGTTAAGATATGACGTTGTGTATTTACAAGTTTTATTACAGAGTTGATGTAGATGTGGAGTATACACAGGTACATTTCCAAGTAGGTCTGAAATGGTCCCTGAATAATAATCGGCAGCAAGCTGGAAAATTCATGCTTGAAAAGTGAAATATTAGGCTACGGTTATTAATTGTGGCATTTAGTCACTCATTAACTGTTCAAGTGGCTTATTGCAATATTCTGTGTAAGCAGGTGGGTCAGACCCAGGGCAAGCTGCCATCTGGGAAATGCTTTACTGATTCAGGTTTCTTCACAGATCTCATAGCTTTTTTTCCCAAAATGTGTGTGTGTGTGTATATATATATATTTTTTCCTGGAGACATAGTCTCACTTCGTCACCCTTGGTAGAGTGCCCTGGGATCTTAGCTCACAGCAACCTCAAACTCTTGGGTTCAAGCGATCCTCTTGCCTCAGCCTCCCAAGAAGCTGAGACTACAGGTGCCTGCCGCAACGCCTGGCTATTTTTAGAGAGGAGCTCTCGCTCTGGCTCAGGCTGGTCTCCAACCTGTGAGCTCAGGCAATCCACCCGCCTCTGCCTCCCAAGTGCTGGGATTACAGGCGTGAGCCACTGCGCCCGGCCCCCAAATGTTTTTTATTATGAGAAATTTTAAACATATAGAAAAGTTGTAAAAATTTTATAGTAAACAGCTATATGCCTACCACGTGGATTCCACTGTTAACATCCTGTCCTTCTTGTTCATCACGTTATTTATCTATCTCTCTCCCCATCAGCAATCCTCTCTCTAACTAAGAGATCGGAGTTAGGAAGCTGAAGGTGGCTTTCAAGCGGTGGTTCCAAAGGGTACTGTTTGCACACCTCCAGTCTCAGCGTCCAGGCAAATGGGGGTATTTCCCCTTTAACCCGATTTCAGGGACAAAGGCTCCCAGCTCCCCTCCAGAGCGCCGCGGGTCCCCAAGGGGCTGGGCGGCGCGAGGACACCGGAAGCAGGAGGCCGGGCGGCCACACGCGGGCGAC